ATTTATCATTAGAAGGCCAGAAGAAGATTGCTTGGGCAGCCTTACGTGATTTTTGAGTCTGGCTGTGCTCTGGGGTATTCCTATAACGTTCTCTTCTGTTTGGTATTCGTTGTAAAGAAGCTGCAGAGCTGACAGCACGGAGGCAGTCTGTTGGGAGACTAGGAAGCTGTTTCACACTCTCTGTAGATCAAGTAATCACAGAGTAAATCAGGTGTTTTCAGTTTCCATGTTAGACCAGTAAGTGGCAGTAAGTTGATGTCTTGCTTTTCCCAGGGTTAGTTTCAGCCAGTGTTTATATATATACATATATATATATATATATCTGAATCAGAGCATTTCCTTCTCGGGTTTTGCATTTCTGTATGCTTTATCTGTAAAACTAAATGCCTTTTTCAGAATGCTAAACTTACAGGGGTTTCTTTTGTTTAATTTTAGATTCTCCTAAGTCTAAATCAAAGAAAAAGAAAAAAGAAAAACACAACAAAAAGGTAAATGCTGTCAGAGAGAAATAAGTCATTAACCAGCAGAAAATAGTTCATTTTTTGATAACCGGTGGCTGTGGAAATCTGAGTCATCCTTTTAGGGTTACAGGAGGTAAACTGATAGGTTCACATATAGTTGGCTGTGTGCTAAGGGAGACATAATATAAAGGTTCTTTTGCCAATCATTGCTGGTCCAGCTAGAGTTTAGAGAGTCTCTGAAGAAAAGAGGAGTGGGGAATCTTAATGACATTACGGAATTTGTCAGAAGAAACAAGTTATAGGCAGTGAGAGAGCAGTAGATTCTTGCTGATGTAGTTTTTCATTTTATTAGGGCCTTCTGTTCAGTGATTTTGTGTATTTGGGTTAAATTGAAGGAGACAGAACATGGGATCAGACTCTCAAGATCCTGATGGCTGCTAACACTGCTGCATTACTTTCTGTGTACTTCAGCTAGTAGCTGTTTAGCAGTGGAAAGGGCAAGCAGTAGTGGCTGTCTTGACTAGCTGGGGTGTTGAGAGCTACTTGTGGATATCCTTTCTTTATTGCCCTTTTAAGTCTGTCAGCATAAGAATATATGTCTCATACTTGTAGAAAAGGAAAAAAGATAGCAAAATGAAGAAAAAGAAAGAAAAGAAGAAGAAGAAAGAGAAAACAGGACCTGTCCAGCTTTCCAAGGTATGCTCCTATGAGTCTGAAGTCCCATTATATTTCTCATCTAAACACTTAATCTGTCCTGTCATAAAAACCTTTATAACACCACCAGTCTTGCCACTGACAGATAGAAACCTCCCTCTATTGTTTGGGACAGTGAGGAAGTATAAAAGAATCTTGTCTGTAATTTTGTTTGAGATTTGCAACATTACAGAATAAAGCAAAGCTGAGGTCTTTTTGATGTGTGATCTCATTGTAGTTCTTTAAAAACAAAAAGAAGAATGAAAACTACAGCATGATAACTGGAAAGAAAATTAAGATGAGAATAAAGAAGACTAAGAAGGATCTAGAGGTAAGAGCTAAAATAGTCTATAAATCCCTAAGGGAAAATACTGTATCTTTTAATACTAGCTTTCTAATACTAGTCTTTTGTTGAAGCGTAGCTCTTAGCTAGGAGTTGTAAATTGTGTGTAACTCTTAATGTGGCTACGATGCCATCTGAGGAATTGTAATTGTTCTTTTGGCAGGTTTTGTGTTATGAGTGGGCTTGGAATACTGAGGCATGAGTAGATAAACCGAAGGATGCTTGTGCAGGTTCTTAGAATTGCAGTCTGTAATGGTTAGCTGATTTGTGGCTTTCTCTGTTGATTTAATTTACTCCAGTTTTCATTTTCCTCATCTTCATCCAGTCCTTTTGTGGTGGTAATTGCTGCTTTACTGTTTTTTTCTAATATATGGGAGATTAGCCATTATTCAGAGAAGAATTGGACAACAGTAGTGTTAGGACCACATGCTCCTGCGTTGTCTCGGAGCAGTCAGATGATTTTGCTGAAGTACTCTGGAAAATAGATATCATGAATATAATTCTGTGCTGTTGAGGTGTTTGGACTCAGCACTTACATAATGTGCTTGCTCTTTTCATCAGTTTCCACACCTTAGTGCGATCTGCAGTGAGGTTCAGGTACTAGTCAGTATGTGTGAAAAGTGTTATTTTGCTGAGATACCTGTTTTGGCAGGTTCTGATTCATAGTATCCCAAACTGGTTTGGGTTGGAAAGGCCCTTGAGATCACCCAGTTCCAAACCCCTGCCACGGGCAGGGACCCCTTCCACTAGAGCAGCTTGCTCCAAGCCCCTGTGTCCAACCTGGCCTTGAACACTGCCAGGGATGAAGCATTTTCTATAGCTGTCAAAGCAGACCTGAGTATTCCCAGTTAAATTTGATCAAAAAGACACTGTCTTCCTTTTGTGGCACTGAAGTTTGTGTTAAATGATGCTGAGTGCTTGCCAGCTTTATCCTAGTAACCTGCTTCTTATGGTATTTGATATGAAATATTTGTTGTTGGTCCTTTTTTGTTTGGTGCCGTTGGCCATGAACATGCTGAACTGAATGACATCCATTCTTCACTGTGTTTTGAGATTCAATAGTTGTTTTGTAAATTGTGCCTAAATCCGCTGGAAACAAGTGTTTTCACTGTTTGGGCCATCTGTTATATAAAGAAAGATCCTAAATTCGTGGTTCCATTTCTGTTATGCTGCAAGCTGCTGTTTATGCATAGGAAACAAGAAGTACTTCCCAAAGTACAAGACCTGCTGTGTGTACAGTGAACATTGCCGCAGACACCAGAGAATTGCATCGGTTCTGCTGGCAAGCTCCCTCCTGAGCAAGCTCTGAGCTACACGATGACAACCCAGTGAGGCCTCCAGAGGGAGACAGTTAGAAAATGTATCATGAAATAGTGACAGTGACAGCTTGTCTCCTGTAGCATCTCTCTTGAGCACCCACTGCTTTGCACTTCTCCAGGCACACGCAGCAATGTGGTAGCTACTCATCCCCAGCTCTGTGAATGTGGTAGTGCCTGCTGTGCAGTGTGCTGAGAGGTGAAAGCCCCATAGAAAGCAGGGTTGTGCTGCCTGAGACGTGAAAGCCCCACAGCAAGCAGCATTATGCTGCCTTGCTCCACTGGGTACAGGTCTGTTAAACCACTGCCTCTGCCTTTCTGCTCTACAGAGGGACCGGAACCGTGCACAGCTCCTTGAATTCCTGAACTCTGCCTTGTAATGGGAAGAGTGCTGAGCCAGGACTTGTAACTATACCAAGCCAACGATCTTCATGCCTAGCGAAACACTAAAGGGAAACTCAGGGAAAAGGACATCAAGTTTGACAAGAGCCGACTCTCCTGCTGAGAAGACAATCGGGATGTCCTTTGTTTAGTGGTGAAAAGTAACTGATGACTTGCTAATGAAGATCCATGTCCTCCTTTTGAGATCCTAAGGTAATAGCTAGGCTGTGGTGTTTTAGAAGAGCCTAAGAGTGCGGCGTTGATGACAGATGACACACTGAAATCTAGTGATGTAATTTCTATCCGAAGTGCATGCAGAACATACTCTTAATTTCAAGTATCTTCATGTTTCTAGTAGTTTAAGCAAAGCAGTGTATTAGCAAATGTCTGAAAGCCGAGGCATTTCTGTATGTTTGTGTTTTCCAGTGGTGCTTTTACTTGTCCTGAAGAGCAAACTGACCTTTGTAAATAGAACATGTTTCTACATAAATGAGTTTTTGGCAGTTCATTCACTGATAGATTGTTTTCTTTCAGAATCTGAGCTAGGATCGTTCTCTGGATGGGTTCTTGCTCTCTCTCACTAGAAAGTGTAACGGTAAAATAGAGCAATAATGATAGCTGAATGATTTTTACTGTGAAATAGAAGCAGGAAAGGCCTCTGATTTTGTCTTATCTGGATCAGCTCCTCAAAGGCAGCTTGCAGTAGTTAGTTAACCCCCCACATCTGGAGCTGCATTTCCTAGACTTAAAACCTCTGGAATTCCGGCCTTCTTTTCTGATCCCAGGGGCTGTGTATCACATCTTCCTCCGTGTGAAGTGCAGCAGGACACACATCCACATGTCTTAGCCTAATGGGAAGAGAAAGAGCTGTAGGAATGTTGCCAAGGCAGGCGGTGACAGTGACCCTCCTGGTATATGCTGGGAGATAAGCCAGGTCTGGATGTGCAGCTGGACCCCAGCATAACCTCTGTGTGTGTGTGTGTGTGTGTGTGTGTGATTGTTTGCTCAGTGCTTGCTCACTTCCAGGCTCTTGGCTTGTGATCACGCAGCAGGCCCCTGTGTACATAACCCTGAGGTGGGAATTCCACTTGAATCCCTTGGGTAGCAAGTGCTCCTTGGGAACCACAATTTAGGAATGCCTGATAAAAGGAGCTGGGGTGCTTGACTTCGACAGGAGCATCGGGTGTACAGTGGTCACTGTGGGAGTTCATTAAAGAGCAAACCAATGCAAAACTGTGTGTCTGCCCTGGTGTTTTAAGTAAATCTTGAAGATTTGCACCATTCCTCAAGGGATCATTTTAGGACTGTTTTGGTGTGTGAAACCTGAGGCTGCTGGAATCCTGTCTTCTCCCTGGGTTGCGCTTGGTTGTTTAGGGGTACTTTTGTGCAATTGTTGCAGAGATACAGCTCTTTAGGGACTAAGGCCCTGATCCAGAAAGGCAAGTTTTATCAACATAAACCATGAAAACAAGGTAAGAATTAGACTTTCCTTGACCTGTAACCTGGTGCTGGAAGCTGTTTTGGAAGCACTGTTCTGAAATGTCAGTAGGGGAAAAAAACAAAGAAAAAAACAATCCTCTTCCTTTTTTTTTTTCATGGGGATTAAGCTTTGATTTACGCTGCCTTGGTATCTTCTAGCTGGGAATGCCAAAGCATCTTGCCCTGATAAGCAGCTTTTATCTCTGGATTTCTCTTTGTAAGGTTAATCCCGAACGCACTCTTACAAAACACTAGCATCCTTGCCATTCCTTAGGCTGTACTTTGTGTAAAGATAGTATCCTTTCCTGAAAATAAGGGGGGGGGGGGGAAGGGGAGTGGGGAGTAGACATTTGAAAGGTGGAAAATAAACAGGAATGGGAAACTCAGAGATTGCACTTGTAAAGGATGGCGTTGCCTGGAAGGTCTGCACTTAATTGAAGTAATGTGGTTCTTGCTGTCTTATTTGAGATGAGTTAAGGTGGTCAAAACTCACTCACTGTTCCATTCTAGTATGGAAAAGGTGAAGGACCTTGAGTAATACAATGTGGCCTGTTCCTCTTGTAGGGTTTCGGTAGTTGTGAACTCTGGACAAAGATGAGTCAGACCACTTTCTCTTTAAAGAGGCAAACAGAAAGCTTTTTTCTGTTTCAGGGGACACTAATCTTCTCCTGTTCAGTTTTGACATGTTGGATGTGCTTTGATGCTTTAACGTATTTCTGTGCATTTACTTCTGAGCTACCATTGCTTTTAGAAAGCCAAGCTGCTTAAGCTCTGTGGCAGTGATTAGGTTTTATTCTCTCCTGCCCAGTCAGTTCCAAGTGCTGTCAGGAACTTCTCTGCCTTTATAAACCTCCTTTTCTTCCCTACCCATCTCCACGTAGATTTTCAGGTTGCTGAAGAGTTCATGTTGCATCCTTCGCTCCCCATCTTTCCCAAGCACTGAGATCACGTGCATCTTCTTGGGACTGAGTATCTTTGAGGTTGCTGTTTGGAGGTGGCCAACAGATTCCAGCCTCCCTATAGTGAGCGTGGGCCCATAGAGCCAGAATAAGTGTCCGTGCCAGAAGGAAGGTCATTCTGTTCACCTTTTTGCTAAGGCATAGCTTCCTAATACTTCTTCAGATTACTGCTGTGGCAGCTGAACCAAAGACTGAACCAGACGTGAAGGTTGTGACAGTAGGGGGAGAGGTGGAGAGGAACGTGATGAAATACAGACGGGGAGACTTGCATGAGGGAGCTGCGAAGCGGCGTGGGATGTCAGCCTGATGTGCAAATGGCTGATGGAGAACCTTGCTCTCAGGTCTCTGAATAGTGCATATTGTGGGGGAAGATGAAGGCTGGAATGATAGAGATTGAGGTAGGGATGGAGGGAGTCTGCTGCTGTTCTGACATGGAGTGGGGCAAAGGGCAGGTGATAAGGAAGAGGCTGCAGAAGCCTACCTGGCTGGACAAGTTGAGATTCTTGCTAAAATGGTCATGAGTAGAAGTCTTTCAGGTGTGAAAGACTTCCTTGTGTGTGTGTGACAGGCTTCCCTATCACACCCACTTCCTGTGTCCCTGCACCATTTTGGGAATCGTACAGAACTCAACTGAACTTCTTTTAACAACAGAAATTCCAGAAACGGAGTCCCTGGGGTGGGAAGAGGGGAGGGATACGTTCTCTGAGCTGTTGCTCCCATGGCCATCATCCGTGGCACCATTCGTCCCAAGTATTCCACCCCATTTGTGTGACAAACAGCAGAGTGGGTAAGACACGATCCCTTGGGGTTTGTGCCAGCTGCTCTTTAGGCTCTTGCTACCATGCTAGTCCTGCCTCCCACTTGTGTGCTGTAGTTAGGCAGGCAGAAATCTAGCATAAAGGACTGTGTGGTTTTCACTGGTCCCATGATAGGGATTGCTTATTTGGACCTCCTGGATCTAGTAAGTGTCATGAAGCAGGAAGGGAACTTTCTCTGCAATTGATACAAGTGGTACCTGAAAGTTACCAGAAGAGGATGGAGCACAGTTAGAGAACTTTCTTTTCTTACGCAGGGAAAACGGGCAAAAACCCCAAACGTGAAGGAATGGTTGATGCAAGTAATGATGTGATTCAGCCAGTTCTCATGGGCAGTTCTTTATTACTCATTTCCTTTACGATTCGCCTGAGCTTGACTCCTTTGCCGGTGCAGAGATGTGCAGGAGATCAAGATGGGAAAATAAGCATAGGTGCTTTGGAAGTACTTGCCTCTGCTGAGCCAAGATGCTGGACCCGCAGTGCTGAGCAGTGCCTGCGATTCTGATCCCTGTTCAAGAGCGTTCTGCTGTTGCGCATTTGATGCCCTTGGATGTTTCACGCTGCAGGGATATGTGAGCTTCCCAGTCCTCCTCTGCGGCGGGGAGAACCGAGCGAGCTCTTGGTTCAGGGGAAAAGCAGAGCTCAGGGAGCCTGGAGGAACTTGCCCTGGGTTTCACCTGCTGAGCCTGTGCTGTTGAGGTGCGGGTGGGGGCCTTGACCGCTGGATGGAGCTCTGATCCGCTTTGTAGGACGCGTTAAATGCGCCGCTACGCCTGGTCTGTGCTGCGCGTGTTTAGGCGCAGGTTTCCAACGTTCTTCTTGCTCAGCTCTCAAGGGTGGGAGCTCCAGTGTCCAGGGTTTGGGCACTCTATGAAATGGCTGGGTTGAAGTGGTAGTGGGTTCTTCTGAAGGTCCGGGGCGTATGGGACAGTCCTCCAGTCTGCAACTTGGTTGTATTTGACGCTATAAGGTGATAAGCTTTCAAGGAGCTGCTGCTTAAAATCATTGGCAGTAGGCATTGGCAGCCTTCTAGTTCCATCTCTGGACAAATCGGATCACCACAATCACTAGCCAGTGTGGAGATGATGGTTTATTTGGCTGGTGACAACAGGTATTTTTTTTCCTGCCTGTTGACTTTCAGTCTTACATTGTGATTCATGAGGAGTGTGGAAGAGGCAGTGTTTTCTGAGGGAAGGAGGCGTGTTTTGAGCCTTTCCAAGCAGTGTGAAGAACACCGTTAATATCCAGACCACTGACCACAGAGGCACAGCGTTTAAGCTGTGTTCGCTTGGCTCTCCCCACGGGAGCTGTTCCCTGGGTGACAGTGGTGTGAGAGAAAGGGAGCATGAGTGAGGAATATGTGCTTGTTAGAAAGCTGCTGCCTGGCTCCTGACTAATGGGTGCTGGGAATGCTGCCGGCAGGAGGCATTGCTGTCCAGCTGGAGCAGCATGGAAATGGAGTTCTTTTTAACCTGTGGACACTGGCTTTGCACTTTCTTATTTAGAAACCTATAATTGGCCTGCAAAGATCTAATTATGTGTTTTTTATGGGGCACATTTATTAGTGCTGCCCTTTGAATTTAATCCAGGCTTTGTCAATTCCTTGCTCTTGGCTGTGCTGTGGACAGACAATAGTCTCTCCTGCTGGTGCTTGTGTGCCAAAGGCAAAAGGAAGCCTCTAACCTCTAAGCAGTGGAATGCAACAGGAGCAAGTTGCTGAGAGCCAGTAGGACCTGGAAGGACCAGGGGTTCTTGCACCATCCCTCCCTGGGGCTGCTGAGTTCTTCAGAAGCTGCACCCTGCTCTTCTCCATCTCTTAAGCACCAGTGCCAGAATATAGAAAAGATAACCATACCTGAGGAGCATTTCACTGTCACTGCTTCATACCATATCTGGTTATTTAAAGAAGTCTTCAGAGTAAACTTAAGAGCAATCTGTTGCCTTGGGCAACCTGACATTGCAGAGAATAGGGTTGGAAAAGGCACTGCACATGGACTGTGACCTGGTGAAGGCCTCCAAGAATACAGCATTGAGATCACTAACCATGTGTAACAGTAATTATGTTCTGAGAGCAGGTACTCTGATGTAGAAACCACCCATGCTCTCTCCCACGCTTCTGCAGTACCTGTACTGGGTCAGACTGGATTGCTTTGGTAGATACAAAATGTAATTGTCACTAAAATATGGAGGTGAGATGCTATAATCTGGTTATCTAGCCAAGATCCTGAGACTTTATGAAGTGTACAGTATACACAGATAACCCTAAGTCGCCACATAATCCACTGTGCTTCTTGTAGCCCTTTTCCTCATCTTTCCATCATGTTGAGTAAGATCTCATCCTGCTTTTCCCCTTAGTTTGAGTATCTTTGTGTAGCAACTGCACAGGAAATACGTGCTAGTCACTGGGAGACATGGGCTCAAGACGCAGCTCTCGGGGCCAGCACAGGGTCTTTCTGATGTGAGCCAGCTTGAAACGTGGCTTGTCTGGGGACAAGACACACAGGGAACAGGAGGCCCCTTGTGCTGACAGCCCACGGCACGGCCAGCAGTATCAGGGAAAGGCAGGCGCAAGGTCATGATGTCTGCCCTGCACAGGCCTAATAACCCTTCCTTTATTGCAAGGCGCAACCGAAAAGGTTTGACTCATGCACTCCAGTGCTTGTCAGGATGCTTTTTAGGCTAAACTAAAATGCAGTGTTCCTTTATCAGGGAGGGGCAGCAGGACTATCAGAATAGCCATCGAGTCAAGCCTTAGCCGTCTGTGGTTTTCCTCCCAGGACAGGCCTGCAGCAAAGTTTTGGGAAGGAGTGTAAGCAACAACACAGAGATTTGGTTGTCCACAGCTTCTGGCAAGGAGTGGCTTAAGTCCTGTGCTGTAGGTTGCATCCTGACCACTGTGTTTACTGACCCTCTGAACTCAGAGTCCTCTTCCCAAACCTCTCATCTGTCTGACCTGCACACTGTGCTGAGCAATGCAATCCATTACTCCAGCAATACTTTGTGTGGGGAAAAAAATACTTCCTTTTGTTTAACATGTGCGTGCTTTGCATGCTTGATGCTTAGCAGGGAGCCACCTGGGGCCATTGCTAGTATTAAGGTGTTCTAATACCCAGCATCAGGTACAGAATCAACAGGAGTGACTCAAAAGTCACTTAGAGCTTCTCATTTCATGGGAATAGTAAGGTGTGCTTGGAAGCATGGTGGTGAAGACCGGTGCAAGGTTGTATCTGTGAACAGCTTAGCTTCAGAGAATTTCAGACCTTTGAAGTTGTTTAATCCTGATCATTTCTCACCTTAAATCTTGGCATCTGTTGGCAGAGGCAGCAAGGCAGAAGGTGTCTGCATCTATGGCCTGTAGAGAGAGGATGGAGCTTTTTGTTTAGTTCAAGTGCCTTTACTGTCCTTGCTTTCCTCCTTTGCTATGTGCACAGTGCACAACAGCAGGGCAGTGGAACAGCAGCATTGGGCTAGATGTGGACAGATTGTATTTCAAATTCTCAATTAAAACCAAGTCCAAAACCATGGGTTCTGGTCCACAGCTTTGCTTTAATTCTCCGAGGGTCCATGATGGAATGTATAAACAGTGCAATCTCAGCAGACAGGTATTGCCCGTGGCACTCCAGTTCTCCATGGCGTCACAGCTCTCTGAACTACATGGGATACGGGTGAGGAGCCTCACCTCCTGCACACCTCTGTCACAGCCTCTGGGTCAGGCTTGTCCATAGAAGCCACAGAAGCAGGGGTGCAGTCTCTCTCAGGTGAGTAGTGACTCCGAGGAGCCTTAGCCCCTTGAAGCTGAGCACTGCAGCTGAGCTGCTATGGACTTGTTGCCATTACTTGTTAGAATATGTAGTAAGCCTAGGATGGCTTTTTGCCTAGGTCTAACAATGTCCTTTGGATAGTGGAATGCTTCAGCAGTTGGGCTGATACTGAAATCCTTACTCAGTTTTGAGAGAACGGCTGAGGATGTAGAATCATAGAATAGTTAGGGTTGGAAAGGACCTTAAGATCGTCTCGTTCCAACAGTCATTCTTGTTCAGTTCCCTTGTTACCGATGTTGTGCTGCTATTTCACTTCTTATTCTTTTTAAAGAATTAAGGTGCTGGACGCGCGCTCAGGAGGGGCTCAGAACTGATCAGAGAGGCTCATCAGAGCTGTGTAGAAATGTTTTGGGCTTTAGGTTTCTTTTCCTGCACTAGCAAGTAGTGCAGCCCAGGAGGAGCTGGACAGTTGTCAGTGCGGACACTACACGTTTCATGAGGGTTTCTTTCAGGCCAGAATTAGTCCAGCTCTGTGGCTTGTGAGTCAGCTGCAGTGGATCATCTGGGTTAGCTTCATCCTTGTTTTCCTGCTGTGCCTGCTCAGTGCCGTGGACCGTAGCACAGTAGGTGGGGACAGGCAGGAGTTGCATGCTCCTGTTTGAACTAAAATGCTAATTTAGCCACACAAAGGCAAGGCAAACATGAGCTGTTGCTGCCTGCTGTGACCAAAGGATCATCTATGGTTCAGTCTACAGCATTTCTAAGAAGAAGGAGCACCACAAGCCCTCTGCAGTAGTCGTGCATCCTAACCCCCTCCCCGGCTCTGCTTCACACCTCCTGGTGCACATGCAGCGTGGGTCACTCGGTCTCCAAGCAGTGAGCTTACAGGCAAACACGGCACTACTTCTATACCTTTAAGAGTACTAGATAGCACGTAGTGAGACCAGAAACCTCATAGTTTGCTATCTGAATATTCCTTTATCATCAGATGTTACCATGAGCCCAGTGTAACTTGCAGAAGAGAGGTACAGGGAGAATGATGCTGTTTAAAAGCTTGGATTACATTTTATTGAGGAAATAGGAATGATAGGTAAGTTGAGACAGAACAGCTGTGGCAGGCAGTGCTGCAGCCTGGCCTCTCACATCCACGGCTTTGACCAAAGGTCAGAGTTGTCTCCCTTTGCTGGCTGTTAAAGGACAATGGTACCTGCTAGCTGGAGGTGGTTAATGAAGGACACAGTATGATCTCAGGCTGCTATGACAGTGACACGCTTCAGGTGATTTCCCTTGGCTTTGTACATTGGTGAAGGGAAGTCAGTTACTCCTGATTCTCCTTAAGAAAGAGTGAGTACGTTACAGACACTGTACTGTAACAGAGCTCTGTGTCAGTGTGTCAGAATGTCCTGTTTCTCCCAGCAGTCCATCAAATATTGCATCAATACTGAAGGTGTCAAAAGCGAGTGCAGATAAAATTACCACAGAGCTGTAGCCTGAAATTCATTAACTCCCCTTAGCCTTTGGTATCACACCAGTGGCTTGCAAATATATATCCACATATGTGTGTATGTATATATATAAAAATTACTAACCTTTTCTCAAACAAGAATTCTTCTGCAAATTCTGGCAATCTCTTGCTAGAGATCCCCCATCTTTTAGACAACTAAGGCTATGCTATGTCAGGGCTTTGTTTTAACTTCATACACACAACCACATTACTTCACAAGGACATACAGCTGAAAACCACTAAGCTGATTGTCAGAAGGCCATAAACTCTCCCTCACCGACCTAGAGGTGTAATAGCCCATCCCAAACTGGGTGCTGTATTTGGAAGCCCTGAGGTTTTGATTTAAAGTGAGCTTCTGCTTTCTGTCCCCAGGAGGGTTGCTGACAGCAGTGTTTCACCAAGCGACTAGTAACTACAGCCTGGTGCTAGTAAGAAATCCTTGTCTTCAATTTTAGATACCCCAGAGGGGAGAGAGGAAGAGCCAGAATCCCACAGTCCTAGAGATCGCTTAAGGGTTTGATCTTGATCTTGGTTTTTATGCTGCCCTCCCCATCTCTGGAGGAACGTGCACATTTCTAGTACTGGAATTCTTCCCAGAGTTGGCAGAGCTTCAGAGGCTTTTATCTTGGCTGTAGTACCCACACGCTTCTGCAGAGATCCCCAGGGAACAGAGTTGGAAACAGACAAAAGAACTAGAAAGCTCCAAGGTCCTCCAGGAGGCTCTACCCCACTGGCATGATTCTCCAAAAGCCACTCATACAGGGAAACCCCTATCTTCCTTCCCCATCTCCCGCCAGTCACCATGAAGCATCCCAGCCCTTGGCTTCTCCATAGGACCCATGGCTTTCACTGTGTGCTATTCTCTTTCCTTTGCTGGTGAGAGCTCTCCCTATGCATGCTGAGTTAGGGCCCTAGAAACTTGTCCTCAGCTGCATTTTGCTGTTTCTGCAGGGTCCCAGCAGTACCACGCTGCCCTACAGGCTACTCCCTTTGCACTAAAGGCTCCCAGAATGGTTGGTGTTGGAAGGGCCCTCTGGAGCTCCTGCAGTCCAACCCCTGCCAAGGCAGGGCCACCCAGAGCAGGGCACACGGGAAGGTGTCCAGGCGGGGTTGGGATGGCTCCAGAGAGGGAGACTCCCTCGGGCACAACCCCCCCGGCAGCCTGTGCCAGTGCTCTGCCACCCTCACGTAAAGAAGCTCTTCCTCGTGTTGAGGTGACTCTTGTTGTGGTTCAGTTTATGGCCATTGCTCCTCGTCCTGTCACTGGGCACCACTGAAAAGAGTCTGGCATCGTGCTCCTGGCACCACCTTTGAGATGCTGACCTGCATTGATGGGATCCTCTCTTTTCTAGGTTCTTTTGTTATAGTATCAACCCTCTGGCCACCAGCCTGTGATACCGAAAAGCTCTCCTCTGAGCCCCCATGAGGGAAGACAGAGAACAAACCTTCATCTACCAGAGCCCTTCAGTCACTCACAGCAGGAAGTTGTTAAAATGATATCAACTATTTCAGCTGATCTCAACTATTTCAGCTGTACAAAGAGCCTCTGTGCCTGGATGCTACACTTTAGTACTCTTTTAGGCTTAGCCATAAACATTAATTTCAGCCCACTGCCTTATTACTGGGATGTGGCATGGAGCACTTACCTCAGCAACACAGAGCACTGAGGACCAAGAGCAGCGTTTGACACAGCTGATGTATCCGCCTGTATATCTACACAGCAGGTTGTTACCTTTCTATCTACTCTGCAGGCACGAGGTTCAGGGGGTTCTGCCTGCACAAAAGAGAAAATACCCAAGAAACCTGAGCATGCATAAACTCGTTGCTGTGCAATAATATTGGTCTTTCATCTCAAAAAGCTTGGGGTCTGTTTCTACTCAGGTTGGATTGTGAGTTGTCAGCAAAAAGCTGATCAAGAGCAGTGCTGAGGTTACCTGTGAAGTTTCCCGTAGCACTGGGGAAGGCTATTAGTCGGAAAAGGAAGTTCAGTTCCAAATCAGATAGTAGCTTTAACTGACAGGCCTGATCCTGCAAGCCTTACTCATGTAAGTGGCTGTCTTGCTTTCAGCAAGATTGGTCCAGCCAGCAGCTCTCACTAGCTTGTGCCAAAAGCTTTTCTAGATAACTACATCCAGGCTGGGGGGAAAGGGAGAAGGCAGACATCGTAAAATAATTCATTTTCCACAAGAAAGCAGCCATAAAAAGAGGACAGTCAGTGAGCCTTGCCCGTAAGGTTACTGATTAGCTACTAAATTAAAGGAAAGGCTAGCATGTTTGGTCATGAATTGTGTCACACACCGCGGGCATAAGCAGCAGTTACTATGGACACAGCTTCCAAGAGAAGAGACAGGCAGGGAGAAGGAACAAACAGTAGAGCTAGAAAAGAGTTAACTGGGATTGTGAAAGATCTAAAAACCTTATTCAACATCGAGTCAGTAATCCTTGGCATTCCGAAACTCTGGCATGCTCCAAACCCTCCTGGTGGGCTGGGTGCCCCGTTCCACATCCTCAGAGATGGTCTTGATGTCACTGATGAACGGGGAAATCCTGGACCGGGATTTAAATGTTGTTAAGGAGAGGCTGGTTTTGTTCTTTGTGTTCCATTGACTGGCAAGCTTCTTGGCCTCTTCCTCTTCTTTGATCTTCTCAGCAGCTTCCTGCAGGGCAGAGCGGAAGAGCCGGGATACTTCCTGCACTTCTGGTTCATATTCAGCAATGAGTTGCCGGAATCTGCAAGCACAGTCAAGACACAGCTTTGATTAAAACCATCAAATGACACATCGCTGCCAAGTCACTGTGCTAGGCTGGGAACTTGGCACTCCTGCAGAATGGGACTCCCTGGAACTAGAGGGAACAACAACAGGGAGGGGCCATGAAGATCTGCTCAAGGTTTCTAGAATCACAGAGAATGTAAGGAAGCAATGATTCACTGTTTCTCATAAGGACAAGAAATAATAAGGAGCAGCAAACAAAGCTAGAAGGTGGCAAGTTCGAAACAGAAGGAAGTGCTCTTTTCACACACCACCTATTAAATCAGAACTCGGTGCTATCAATAGCTTAAGAAACAAAATGATTAAGCAAGTTTGTGGAAAATGTCCCCATTACTGCTGATTAAACATGATTATCCAAATGCAAATCCTTGCTCAAGTCACCCCTGAACTGCTGCTTACCAGAAGCTGGGATAAACCAGGGAAAGTCGCACTAGACTTCCCTCGTTTCCAATTCTCATTCCCCAGTGGCCGTGAGACAAACAAAATTCCTGTAAATCTCTTCTTTGTTATATGTTTGGTTGTCTCCCAATATTCAGTGAAGTGACATTTCATCTTCCTATGGATTTCTGCAAGGGAATGGACCAGCTCAGCTTTACTGGCAGCATGATGCTGTATCTAAGTGGACAAGTGTGAATTACTCCAGTGCTTTCTCAGGAAAGAGCTCAGAATGATTGTTGTTTATTAAGCTAGCTTAATGCCAGGGAAGTGAAGAATTGCCCCTGTTTATTTTGCAGGTGAGGAAGGGGAGATGCAGAGCAGGATAGTGTTCTTGAAGTCACTGAGTGGGCTGCTGGCTGGGCCAGGAGGAGAACGTACCATTCCTGACACCTTGTTGGGTAATGAGGTCCTCAGCCTGGAGAGTGTGGGATCCACTCCCTAGCACTCACACACCGGGCATATCGATATTCTAGTTGTTCCATAGTAGCATGTATGTATGACAGATGGTAATATGGCTACCCCTGTAATAATCAGTTCTTAACATTAAAATTGTATCTACAGGTAGACACAGAGCTGAAATAATACTTTGCTAAAATACAGTTATTTGTACTTAATGGAAGCTAAATGGCCTGTAAGCGTTTTGATATCTTTTCTCCAACAGAACTGAATGAGGATGGAGAACAGTAGGATTGCATTTAAATAAGCCTAATATAGCAGAAGCTCATAGAACAAGATCTTGCCTATTGGTTTCTTTAAAAGCCTTAGGAACATAACAAGGAGTTTAGTGCATTATGGAACTGCACTGCTTAATGGTGTATCAAAGGGAACCCACGATAACAAGGACAAAAGAAAACCAGAGATAAACCAAAAAGCCTCTTTGTACATTTATGCCTTTTGACTCTCCCTGTGGAGGCCTGGTATTGGACATACATCTTAACAGCATGCTGTATCCCAGGTGTTTCAGTGTGCTTCTCTCACAGCACGTGTTGGCAGCTACGTGTACAGCAGTGGGGACACCACTACTGCATGCTGATGGAAATCTGTTCCAGCAGAAGCTGCAGGCCCTTGCAGGGTCAAGCTAGAGGCGTTTGATGCAAATGCCACCAGTCACCAAGATGTCCCTTAACCATTTCAGTTGCTGAATTCCTAACCCACCCCCTCCAAAAAAACCCAACCCTAAATGTGGACCACTGGGATGCAAACAGCCTCTGAGGCACCGTAGTTCACACTAGTATGGAAGTCCGTGCACAATACTGCCAAAGTGAGTTGTGCAGAGCCAGTAAGTGCAAGAGACTTGGTCTTGCTGAGTGTTACAACACTAAGAGGGATTTGCTGCACATGGCAAACATCCTTTCTGCTGGGGAGGCGCTGCAGTTGTGATTTCAAAGAGACAAAAATACAGTTTCCACAATAAATACACTTCTCCCTTTACTCTGTAGAGAAGCACAGACAGATGAGTCTATTGAAACCCAGGTCTTCACAACATTATAATTCTACCGAGAAAAGCACCTTCAAAGGGTTTTTACTGCAGAGGTGAACTGAATGAGTCATTCCATTATTTTATCTGCATGTGTATTTTAAAGAGAACTGCTGTCACGTTGTATCTATAGCTATCAGTACATCTTTTGTATTGGCAATTGTTGCACCCAAGAGGCCTCATCGCTGCCTCCAGTTTTAGAGGCTGGGTGGCATGCTGCTGGCCTGTGGCCCCAGAGCAGGTAGCACCATGTGTCAGGCTATAACTGGACCACGGAGTGCCTCTGGGAACAAGAGGG